ATAGATGGAGGCTACAAGTGCTTCTGCTAATTCTTAATTGTTTTCTAAACTGAAAGAGAAATTAACATATTGTTGTCAATATGCTAAGTTTCTGTTTCGCCAAGACTGCTCATTTCTAGCTGTGTCTGACCCACAGGTAGACAACACTGGGTAATGCTGTTATGCTCATCTGTGGCTTCAGTAGGAGGTGCTGTTTGTCTACAATGTCAAGAGGTTAATTTTTAGAAGGCATACTGGAATTATTTCTCTGTTGGACTCTGTGACATCTCATAGTCCATCACAAGCCACAGAGAAGCATTCCTGTATTAGCTGTGGTAAGCCTTTTAATAATTGTTGCTGTCTTTATTGACCTGTGCAAGTTATTTCTCTTTTTCAGCTTTCCTGCCCTGATGGTGGACGGTGACATTGCAAACGCTGTCTGGATGAGGTGGGGTTATAATTTGGTTCTTGGTTAATTAGAAATGTATGAATTCTTCAATTCAAACTCAGGTCATTCTGACTATCACTCTATATCTGCACTGATTCTGTGTACCTAGGAACAGTGTCCCACACTGCTAAGTAATTCACCTATGATAACACAAGTTGTTCATAAACATTTAGTATTGTATGACTGAGCATAATAATTGCACAATCTCTGACCGCACCGTGCTGTTCCATGTTATTTAATGGATAACTTGAGGTCATGATGACTAAAATATGCATACAAGGACATGGCTACAGTGTCCTGCTCTCTTTAAAAAAAAAAAAAAAAAAAAAAAAAATTTTTAAATTTTTTTCACTTTTTTTTCTCAAGGCCTGTTTTTACACAAGTTGTTCATAAACATTTAGTATTGTATGACTGAGCATAATAATTGCACAATCTCTGACCGCACCGTGCTGTTCCATGTTATTTAATGGATAACTTGAGGTCATGATGACTAAAATATGCATACAAGGACATGGCTAAAGTGTCCTGCTCTCTTTAAAAAAAAAAAAAAAAAAGAAAAAGATTATTAAGATTCTGTCACTATTTTTGCTCAAGGTCTGTTTGCTTTAATTCAATATGTACAATAAAGTACATTAGATTTTACTCAGAGTTAAAGTTTCCCTAAAGTTGTTACCAGTCTTACTTAAGTCAGCCATAAGTTTTGGATCACACTGTTTTAACACAGTGTTTTTCTGCCTTCACCTGAAGCCTTGCATCAGTGAAATCTATTAAGGACTTGTTTTTCTCTCCGTGTGCTCAGAGACACCATGGACAGGTGGGTCTTGTTTGCTTTGGCCAGCATCAAGGTATAAGGAAGAAATATTGACATGTGAAGAGCAGGCTTTTCCAGCTTAGAAAAAGATGGGGTTCATTAGGATACCATCTGGAGTAGCTTTTGAGGTGGAGTCATTGACGTGAATTACATATAAATTAATTTGATACTTCTCCTCTGGCGTATCTGTCCCAGAGTCAGTAAACACTCCTGTTCTTTCAGAAACTCAAATTCTGTCCCATAAGGAAAATGTAGGAGAGGCCTTATTTTTTTTCCTAAAGATGAGCTAAAGTTCTCTCTTTTCTAACTCCCACCTAGCAGGTAGGAAAGTAAGTGCATAGCTGGTTAACTTTCTGTGAATTCAACAGAAACTGTTCTAGGTGAATGTGATTTGTTGTATTTGTCATTCATTATCTCTCTGCTTCTGTATTCTGAACGTTTCTGTAATTTGAATCATTTGAAATTGCCCTTTATTACAAAAACTCACATTTCCTAAAACTGAACTGGTCACTGTGACCACCAAGTTCCTCAGCTGAAGATCTGGTTGGTTTTTGCACTCCTTCCAGGGAACCCTTACCCAAAAGCAGGGTTCGTGGTTCTTGCACATTAAAATGATGGAGCTATTCTGAGGCTGCTGCAACGGTCCATGTAACTTCATCCTCTGCTTGGTTAAATTCTCGCTTTATCATCAGAAATGAGAAAGGGATTAGTAAACTCCTCAGTGGTCCATTGTATGGCACCCTCGTTACCCTCTCAGGGAGAGGAAAGCTGTGCAGCAAATCTTGAAAACTACAGGTCAACCATTCTTCCGATTTCATTTTAGTGTCATTTTCAAAGAATCTTGGACTTCTGCATCCCTAATGGATGAGGCTTGAGAGTCCTTTCCTAATATCCTATAAGCTACTTAACTAGGAATATCAGTTGCATACTGCCCATTTCCAACTCTGACAGTCTAAGACATTCAGCTCTGCATGTATCTGGGAAGTACTCCATACTTCAGAAATACCAGCAAGCGGTATGTGAGAGATTTTTATGTTCAATTATCACAGCCTGAATAGTGACAAGGGAGCAGAAAGTGGCATAAAATCTACCCTTGAATAAAAGAAAAATATTTCTTTAAAATTTAGTTATCTCCCCAGGGGCCCAAATTCATTAACACTAATGAACTCTCACTGACTCCACTGCTACAGATATTTTTGGAAAGTTTAACCTGATAGGAGAAAGATAAACCTAGTAATAATAAACTGAATGTCTACAATTCTGCACAATCCAGGTCCCTGAACTGTGTTCCTCTTCAGTTTCAGAAAGATTTTTATAAATTCCATGTCCATTTGGAGTACATGAAATACTTGGGATTTAGAGTACCAGCAACCTGCACAGTATTTGTTTGTTTCAAGAGTGCCACTGATGCACATGAGGCATTTTTCTCTAAAATGCCCCCAGATTCTTCTTTTTTGTGGATTAGCATATAAAGCTATTGATGCCAACCAATGAAAAAAGATTTTAATCAAGTGATTTGACTGTAACAACAAAAACAAAAGTCAAATTGCGTTCACGTGGCACTCTAGTAGCGGTTCCTCTTATTTTTATTTTTTTCTTTTCCACATGAGCAATGCTAGGCCAGGTAATAAAAGCATATTTCACTTGAAGGGCAGCCAAGGGGGAGATGGAGGTGAGCAGCAGGGCGCACAAGAAGGAGGTGCGGCACTGGCTCCACACCTGAGTTTGCAGCTCTTGCCATGCCTGCAAGGTTGGAGGATCTGCAGGAGGCGGCAGCTGCTCCTGAGCTGGGCTCCCTCTTTCTTCCAGCCCTATCCTGTTGGAGCCAAGGCCTAAGTTGCCTCAAGGAGTGACCAAGACTAAAGGTATCAGGGGTACCTCTTCTGGGGTAGAGAGGGAAAAAGCAGGGTTCAGGGCAGCAGAGAGAATTATGTTTTCGAGTTAAAAACCATTTTAGGATCTTTCTCAGCACTGGAGTTTACAAGCCAGGATAGCTCTTGCCTTTCTCAGAGCATTTCCTTGAGCTCTCCCAGGGCAGATGGCTGAGTGAGCAGCACTGGGGATGGATGGGAAAGCACCGCCATGGGGACCAGCCCCAGGGCAAAGCTCCCGGCTGCTCTGCTGCAGAGACACTTTCCACCATATGTGCCCGACTGTGCTGACCCCAGTGCAAACCAACGGACCTGCGTGGTCAGCAGGACAATGCTGCAGTTCATAACCAGCACGCTCAGTCTTGTTTGCCTTTCCCAAACTGGCTCGGGGAGCAGGGTCAGCTCCCACCATTCAGTGTGGCTGTCTGCATCTTGAAATTCTGGACTCCACATGCACTTCACACCCAATGGTCACATAGGATTGGTACTGCCACAGATCGGTCATAATCTCCTTGATCAAAACCTCCTCTGTTTGATGAAAGACTAGGCTGTGTTACAACCACAAGTCAGGTGAGAAGATGGTGAGGTGCTGGACAAGGCACCAGCAAGCACAACCTCGAGGCCCTGCCTGTCTTGAACAACTGTTCCCAAGCGGTACAGTCCCTCCGCTGAAGTACAAGCTCAGCTGTTTTATTTCCAGGATGAAACAAGTCCTGGAAGGAGCCTCCAAAGTTGTGTGCTGAGAAGCAGCAGCACATGGGAAAACAGAAATCATGTGATTTCAACAACTTCTGGATAACATACGTTGGTGTGCATGGGGTGGGAAGCCACAGAGTGTGTCTTATGTGCCACATTTAGGGCAGCTCAGTGCTAAGTGTGGTGCAGGCTGTGAGCCAGTGACGTGAAGGGCAGTAGACGCAAAGGACTGTGGGATAAGCATTGAGGCAGGGACCACTCCAAGGCGTATGTGGTGCGAATGAGGCCTGTTTGGTGCAGAACGTGACAGACAGAAATCCGGCCCAGGACTGCCAAGTTTTACATATCATTGCTAAAGTCCCAAATAATGCCCATTTCTCACACTACATGGTAAAATGTGTTTCAGGTACTAAAGCATTGCCTATTTCCTATGATTTTACAATTTTGAAGAAATTTTGCAAATACCCGGGAGAAGGTGTTGGCATACCATGTTTATATGGTAAGTCTGATCTGAAATGCATTGGACACAGCACACGTCTTCCATGCACAAAGCGGTGCAAGCTCAGAGGGACTGCAGAACTGAGGATGCCTTACGGAGCTTAGCCAGACTCAGCGCCTGTGTGGGTTGTGGACGACTACTTTCTCTCTTTAAGGCTGCGTGTCAAATAATTTAGAATCTGGTTTTCTCTTCATTGTACAGTCCCTTGGTCAGAATGGGGCCAAGGCCCACTGAGCATTAGGGAGGCCCTATTCATTGGTGTGTAAGGCTGAGAAACACGGACACTTAGTGCTTATACAGTCTAAAAAACAGGAAGGGGCAAAAGGGACAAAAAGGCTTCTTTGGGAAAGATTTGTTCTGCAGCAAATTGGCAAACTTCACATTTCATACATTTCAGTGTAAGTCTTTTTTCTACTGTTATCCTGGCAATCTACATGGTATCTTTGGGAAAACAATAATTTCTAATTAAAGATTTCATGTGACAGAGCATTCATACTAAAAAGCAGTTGCACTGGCTGAAGCACTATTAAAAAATGCCACTGATACAGGTACACAACAGAGTGATCACATTGCTTTCTTCTAAATAAACTCAACTGCTGGGGCTGCTGAGCAAGACTGCAGAATAAGAATGATACATGATAACTGCCACGGCTCATGAGGAGGTGGATCACTGTAGGGAATTCCTAAGGAGTTATGTTATGGGGAAGTTCGCAGGGGATGCGGCAGGTCCTTTTCATAAAGCCTTCCAAAAAGCGTCGCTGTTATGAGCGGTTTCGATGTGCCATGCTTACTTTTCAAACGTCCATCACGTAGCACCTAGTTGAAAAGAGAAAGAATTATACTAACCATCCACTAACAGAGTAGCAATATTGCATGGTCCAGAAAGGATAGACCTTAGAGGTTGAATATTTTGATGCAGCCCTTTTAAAAGACGATCGTGAGAGTGAAAGGAACCAGAATTCACTCTGGCTCTGCCATAGCCTTCCCACATTTTCTTGGACCTGAAGGTCTTTAAAATTTCCTCCAGCTCCATCTTTGGAAAAAAAAGATAATTTTCTCCACCTCATAAGACACTGAGAGTGAGTATAACTGGTTTGTTAGGTTCTCATTAGTTACTCGTACATGGAAATGAAGGTTGTATACATATCTAGGACAGTAATTTGAAATATTTTTTGATTTGTAGATCCCAAAACAATGAAACAATTTCTAGATAGTAGTAGAGAATTTCAAACTACATGTCATATGTTGCTTTTCTTAGTTACTTTTTACAGATCAATTTGAAATCACTGTTGTTCGTAGACTGTGAATACCTGAAACTTTTTAAGAGCCTCTATGACAAAAAACAAACATGTATTTGTTAAGAAAATATAAAATATTTTTTAAATTAAACCATGATCATATTTTAGCATGCCAATAAATGGTTTGATGTGTATATTTGTACAGAAGCCCCATTCAAAACATATGCAGGATGAGCAATGGTTTTCCATTCTCTGCCTTGAAAATAATCACCCTTGTTTCCCCTAAAACTCTTCAAGTCTTTTTCACTGTCTTCATTGTGTCTTGTAAGTTATTAAGTACCTCTTCCAAATCAATTAAGATTTCATCTAGCCTCTTACATAAACGTAATCTAAGGTTTATGAATGAAAACTTGTTTTGGCAAAAATTTATGATGAAGTTTCAAATTAAAAGAATAAACCCTACAAAATCCTCAAAAATCCCTTTTAACATTTTTAACTGCATAGGATCTCTGCTCTTATGCATGATACTCATTAGTATTTTTTCTTGCTTGGACAATTTCTCAGAGTATTTGATTTCTTTGTCTCCTAAAATGCCCATCAGCAGAAACCTGTAGAAAATAGCACCTCGAAAGCTGCCATTTATAGATTTGGGACCTGAAGTGGGAAGGCATATTTGCTAAAGAAAACACTGAAGAGATCCTCAGCCTTAGCATCTATACGTTCTCACCAGTAAGGATTAATTCAATCCATCTGTTTAAATGTCGTCTTGAGTTACGATGCGCTGAACCAAGGAAAGTGGTTCTTGGATGGGACTTTGCTGCCGCATCAGTTTTCCAGCACCTGGAAAACCCTGCATGAAACAGCTCCAGGGTGTTCCATTACCTCAAACTCCCCGGGGGCCAGCTGCACCCTGCTGTACAAGACTTCTGGAAAGACGTAGTTAGTGCCAAACGTGCCACTGAGGGAGAACATCTCAAACTTGGTCTGCGCAGTCTCCACCGGCTGCCCGCACGTGTTCAGGTCTGCACTCTTGCACTTGAGCAGCGTGCATATCTGCGGGGAGGAGGGTACAGAAAGGCAAAATACCACTAAGCTTTCAACAGTCAAGAGCTGGATTTGATTGTAAGAAAAGTTCTCACAATGCAGGAACAAACAAGTGTTTTGGGATGGTTGGGATGTAGGCATATACAACCCACACTCACCCCTACAAAACCAATTACCTGCCAATGGTATTTTATCAGAGAACCGTGAAGCCCATCAAATGCACCCAGGACATAAACTTCATCTTTGCTCTTGTTTGCCATCCGATAGACCAAATGACAGCAGAGGTCTCCTTGGCAGACCGTGTAATTTCCAGCTTTGTGCCTGAGTTCACTGAAAGTGAATATATCCCGCCGGACAGCTCCCGAAAAAGTGTCTTTTTCTCGTGGAAATTTCTTGATGCTTGTGGCAAAGGAGCTCCAGTTGACGGCAGGGGGGTAGGTGGGAGAAAGACGGGGGCGTGCGCTCAGCTCTGCTAGCAGGAGACATCCCTCCTCAGTCGCACTGTCGTAATGGTAGGTGGCAGGTCCCTCCGGTGTGAATAGCCCGCTGCCTGCCAAGGACACCCACCAGCCCTCTGTCAGCCGGCACCCCAGAGCCCAGCTCAGCAGGGGGGCCAGCCACCCCCTGTGCATCACTGGTGGGCTTTTTCGGTGATGTTATTTTCAGTCAACACATTACGAGGAATTTTGGAAGGATTTTAAAGCACAAAACCACTAAAATACCCATCCTAGTGTAAAACCATGACCTAAACTTCATAGGTTAAACATGACCTTCAAAGGTTTTGTGCTTTGCTGGATCTTGAATCTGGGCCTTAAATGGCAATTTGACACGCAACCATCCCTATTTTTGTAAGAACTTAAGTTAATTTAAATATAAATCAGAGCTCTAAGAGTGGCATATTTGCCAAAGAAGGAAACGGTGGGGGTAATTACCTTTCACAGAAGGAAAACAAGGGCCTAAACTCAGCTCAGTCTATTTAGGGCAGGCAAAAGTGTTCCTTTCAGGCTATGGCTTCAGGGAAGAGTTGCAGATGCAGCTACAGCAATGTTTTCTCAGTTTACGGAAAAAAAATTGGCAGTAAATATCTATGCAGATCAAACCGAAACATAAATATTTCTAATTCTTCAGCAGCCACAAAAACCTGAAAATGTTTTATTTAATATACAACAGGAATCCTCCTTTTGGTTTTAGGTTATCAGGTGCTGTTTAAAACATTTTTTTCTCCATTGAACTGTTGATTGAATTTTAAACAAAAATTCTGCTTCTAAATGAAAGGCTGAAAATTAAGTGAAACTTTGTGCTATTTTTGAAATAAAATTTCACTTCTACATTATCAAAATTTCATGTCATGCATTTTCTAATTTTACCTCTCCCAAAACATTCACCGTTTCCTTGCCTGAAGCTGTTTACTACATTCAATACAACATCAAGAATATTTTTAGTCTGATTGAAACACTATTTTCCGGAGACTTCACTATTTGTAAAACATTTTTGCTTGCTTCTAAATCGAGTACTCTGAAGACAATTTCCCTTTTCCCAAATGCAACTCACCTGTCATTGCCAAGTTGATGTTGTGAGTATTTGCTGAAAGCAAATTGACTCCCATGCCCATAGCCCAGGCAGAGTGAAACTCAACCGCAGTCAGAAATGGCAGGACGTTCAATTTTGGAAGGATTTTAAAGCACAAAACCACTAAAATACCCATCCTAGTGTAAAACCATGACCTAAACTTCATAGGTTAAACATGACCTTCAAAGGTTTTGTGCTTTGCTGGATCTTGAATCTGGGCCTTAAATGGCAATTTGACACGCAACCATCCCTATTTTTGTAAGAACTTAAGTTAATTTAAATATAAATCAGAGCTCTAAGAGTGGCATATTTGCCAAAGAAGGAAACGGTGGGGGTAATTACCTTTCACAGAAGGAAAACAAGGGCCTAAACTCAGCTCAGTCTATTTAGGGCAGGCAAAAGTGTTCCTTTCAGGCTATGGCTTCAGGGAAGAGTTGCAGATGCAGCTACAGCAATGTTTTCTCAGTTTACGGAAAAAAAATTGGCAGTAAATATCTATGCAGATCAAACCGAAACATAAATATTTCTAATTCTTCAGCAGCCACAAAAACCTGAAAATGTTTTATTTAATATACAACAGGAATCCTCCTTTTGGTTTTAGGTTATCAGGTGCTGTTTAAAACATTTTTTTCTCCATTGAACTGTTGATTGAATTTTAAACAAAAATTCTGCTTCTAAATGAAAGGCTGAAAATTAAGTGAAACTTTGTGCTATTTTTGAAATAAAATTTCACTTCTACATTATCAAAATTTCATGTCATGCATTTTCTAATTTTACCTCTCCCAAAACATTCACCGTTTCCTTGCCTGAAGCTGTTTACTACATTCAATACAACATCAAGAATATTTTTAGTCTGATTGAAACACTATTTTCCGGAGACTTCACTATTTGTAAAACATTTTTGCTTGCTTCTAAATCGAGTACTCTGAAGACAATTTCCCTTTTCCCAAATGCAACTCACCTGTCATTGCCAAGTTGATGTTGTGAGTATTTGCTGAAAGCAAATTGACTCCCATGCCCATAGCCCAGGCAGAGTGAAACTCAACCGCAGTCAGAAATGGCAGGACGTTCATCCAAGCCGTTGGGAAGAGCACGGAGTCCACCTGCAACTCGCTCACCAGGACCACGGCAGGCTCCCGGAAAAGGATGTCGAAGCACGTGAAGATGCCAAACTTCCCAAAGGGGGTCTCAAAGGTGACAGCTTCTGGCTCTTTAGGGTAATTAAACTGAGTTTCTCTTCTAAATAGGTTATACTGCAGATGAAGAAAATGGCATATTAGAAACTAGAAATAAGGCAAGGTTATGAACAGCTACTTTTGCATCTGAAATAGACATTAAGGCAAAGCTGGGGGTTGAGACACCTGAGCTGGCCAGCACAGTGGGTTTGCATCCATCCAGCTGACCCTCTCCCTCTGCGAAATGAGGTGGCTGCACCCCAGCTGCCTCCTGGAAGCAATGCCCAGCCAAAATTAACTGCTAAACCCTGCCAAGATGTCACCTGCAAAAGCGCTATCTGGCTTGGCTAAAACTGTGCCATGGACAAGCTAACATTTACTGAGTATGGAGAACTCTGTCACCACTTCTTTCCCATTTAGTATCATAAATGTAGCCCTTAGGTGTTTGGTATCCGGCATGCGCTCTGCAGCTGCGGTGCTCCTGGGAATAATGCCTGATCGATCAAGCACTTGCCTGCTTTTCCTTCTGGCCATAAGATCCTGGCGTTGGATCATCCTGGATTGGTTGTTGCTCTACAGTTATGTAAAATTATTTTATAAACCATCTGAAATTGATGCCAGAGAGATGAAAAGTATACTGATAACCAATTACAGGGTGATGCTGAAGTGCCTCTTTACCTTGTGGTAACGAGCCACCAGTTTCCCCTCCGGGTCAAAGACGACATCAGTGTTATACTGATAGCGACCATCGCTGGGGCAGCTGGGATCACTGGAGTTACACGGCTTCTTGTCCCCGATGTTTGCAACCACATAGATGGAGTTATTCCTGGCCATGCAGCTGAGTCGTTCCTGCACTGGTGCTGGAGCAAATCTAATGCATGTTTGGTGAAAGAAAAAAACAAAAAAAATTTACAAGTTTAAGTTCAGATGTGGAAGAAATGCATTCAAAATTTCTGTTCCACTAACTGCATATCCCCAGGTGCAGAAAAAGGGATAGATCAAATCATAGTTTCTGTTCATTTTCTTCTCTGTTCATAGCATCATTTTAAATTGCTAGTCTCTTTTAGCTTTAAAAAATGGTCTCCCTGTGTTCTTCTTTCCTGTATCTTTAACAATGTTATTTTCTTTGTGGATATAATTCTCAGCTAACACACATACAAAGATATGGACATCTTCAGAAAACAGGAGAGACTAAATCAATATACAAATATAAACTTAAAATAAATTAAAAATAAATATTCAGGCAGACCTAAATTGTGATTTAAAAGACCATGTTAGCCTTTTTTAAGACTCTTCACTCTGTTTAAGGCAGCTGCCCATAAGCTTTTAGTAAAAAGTGGCCACAGCATTTACAGAGGTGAGGACTCTTGAAATCTTGCTTCATAAAGCCTCAGAACAGAAGAATACAAAAGCTTAGCTTAGACATGAACCTGGTCCTCGTGGTGTCCCTTGCTCACACACATTCAGAGCACCCTGTGTAACACAGCAGACTGCAAGCAGTTGGATTTCTAAAAGACAGTTCTTTCAGATCTAGGGAAATATTTTGTGCAATTTGATTTAGAAATCACCCATCCACATGAGCTGAGGATTGAATCACCTTGTCTAATCTATGCATCTGACATGGTAATAAACTAGCTTATACTTACAGAAGATTTTCACAATTGATCTGAAGTGATAAAGTTTTACACGTTTTAAAAATAATTATTTTGCCTAAAATTTCCTCACTTTCCTCCTTTTGCAATTTTTAAAAGTGAGACTGTCTCAATGCTTTTTATCTTGTGTATTCCCATTACTATTTAATTAAGAGTTCTGCTTGATGCATCTCATTTCTACAGTACTTGAGATTTTTAATAGATTAAAAAAGATAACAGTTCTTAGGCATTTACTGGGAGCAGCTCATGACTCCATGAGACACCAGTTTGAAACCACATAAATCCCTGCAGAAGAAATCACCTTGTGGGGTCGGTGCAGGGAATCCAGTTCACCACCGGATCAGGGATATCCTCCAGGTAGGGGTAGATGGTTTCTCTTGTGAAAAGCCAGCCGTAAATGCCGTCTTCAGGAGTCACAATGATGTGGGCACCCTGACACGAACAGGCTGCGTTAAGAATTCACCCATCAACAGATAACGAGGGGGGTCAGCAGGAGCAGAAAACACTAATTAACAACGCTCCCGCTACACCTAGTACCTGCCGGGCGGCTTCCTTGATGGCCCCTTCCAAGACATCCATGTTTTTGTTCATCAGGGCCAAAGCATCGTCAGGAGAAACGGGCTTGCCAGTGGCGTCTGGCAGGATGACCGCATGTTCGTAGACGGCTGCAATGAAGGTGTCGGAGGCAAGGGCCTGAAGGGCTGTGAGTGCAAACAGTGCAGCGTGCAGCAGAGGCCGGGAAGGGAGCATGGCTGGTGCCTTGCAGCTCCTGGATCGGGCATGGGGAATATAAACCAAATAGAAAGAGGAGGAGTAAAGACTAACAAGTTTGCTTTGGAAATAATCTTCTATTGAGTAATCTGGGAAGGTACAGAATAGTTCTGCCAAGAATCATTGGCATATATTTATAGTAAGAAGTCAAAAAAACATTTATAAGAATTGGATCTTGTTTCCTGTAAAGAGAACATGTCAGAAGCCACGCTGACCTACAAGAGCCTCCATGGAAGGCGCACTTACCCACTGCATCCGTACATCCCTCTCCAGGCTTCCAAACCCATCTTGGGGTGAGCCCAGACTCTTGTAGTTAGGGCACACTACTCCATATAACCTTACTGTGTGTGGCTGCCATCAGTTAAAAATTCAGCCAGGGCTGAAGGCAGACCACCTGTGGGAAGTACAGCCCTCATGCTCCAGAGTGTAACTGATTCATCTACGTTTATGAAACACATGGTCCTGCCATGCCTCTTGCCTTTGGCCAATGGCTTAGTAAAGATGTATCAGGTGTCCTGAGAGCGTCCTCTCTCCTGGGTTCATACTGCTATATAAACTAACCCTTGAACTGTGCTGATTTCTTTGCCTAGACCTAACATGCTCGCTTGTTTTGTGAGAAAGAATTAAACAACACAAATTTTTTTTTTTTGCTATTTTTGTTACAAAAGGCATTTTTTGCAGAATAAGCAATTTGAAATTACTCACACAAAGCAGTTTTTTTCTCACGGAAAGCAATTTTTGCATATTATTTTGGAAACAGAATATTACTACTATAGTTTCAGGTGCTTCATAAAAAAACCTTTGTTAGAACCTGCTGTATGTCAGTGAGGGTAAAGGAACATAACCTGGCTAATCATTTACCACTCAGCAAGAAACCAAGGAAAATATTCTTTATCCTAACAATATCTTCCTCTTCACTATGTAGTTTCACCCAGAAGTCTTCTTTTTGTTCATCAGTGCCAAGGCCTCCTCAGGAGAAACCGGCACTTCAGTGTCCTCCGACAAGACCACGTTGTGCTCATAGACGGTTGCAATGTAGCTGTCCAGGGCACAGGTCCCCAGAGCAGACAGCACCAAAAGCACGGCAGAGGCACGAGCTTTAGGAAGCCCCATGTCTGGAGCCTGGAAGTCACCCAAGAGGAGGATGGGGCAAGCAAAGACAGGGGCTTTAAAAGGGGAAGTCTTGCACAAAACCTGGGAATTCCCCACAGTGGCAGAAAGGTGACACCAGGCGATGCAATCACCGTGCCCGGAAAGTCTCAAAACATCAAAGGCAAGAAAAGCGCCAGCGTTGAGCAATTCTGCCTTACACCACTCACCACTGTGCTGCAGCTGAAGAAACAACGTTGCTTGCCAGATGAACAAATGATTCAGGCGCGGCACTGCTGCAGTAATGCAGCTCAAGGCAAGCCCAGGTCACAGCAGGAAAACCAGCCAGAGTTTGGGAAATCTCAGCAAAGACCAGCACGGACACATTCCTGGCCAGACTCGAGGGCGCGGGGTGCAGGCAGGGCTGCAGGAGGCAGGCGGCCGGTCCCGAGCTCAGTGTTGCCACACGGGCGCTACCTGTGCCACCTCAGCTCAGCACAGCACCGGCTCAGAGTTGTGGGGCCTTTGGGGGCTGCTCCGCATCACAGAAGGGCTGCCAGGCACCTGTTTGCCTGAGCAAACCCATCAGCACATCGCTCAGTAACTGAGCTCTGAAGATCTCTGGTCCCCAAAGGTCTCTGTTGGAAGAGTATCATGAATGGGAGCCACAATTTCTAAATTTTGCCTATTACAACCTGCTTTCTTAAGTCTACAGATCACTCCAGCAGAAATCTTGAAGGTAAAGCTGCACATGCACAAAAATCACTTGTATCTGGTTGCCCAAGTTTCTTACCTTCTTTGGTTCTGACTCAGCTCTCAGATAACGACACGCTTTTTTGCTGCACTTCCATGGAAGATGCGGTTATTGTTATCAGCGGTTTCACACAGCCTTCTCTTTATACAGACTGAGTCGGTATGTGGATGCATGGGTAGACTTGCATAGGATTACTTTCTGTATGCTTGACTCACTTCACACAATAACACATTTCACAATGATAAATGTTATGCAATCTTTGTAGCAAAAATAATTTAGTGCTATGGTGGCTTATGCCAGTCTTCTATAGGAAAATATTCAACATACAAATATACCTAAACCAAACCACAATGGCCTTGAATCAAATCCTGAGTTCAAGATACTCACCAGGTTCAGGGTTGGGATCATATACTACTTGCACACACATTCCCTTGGCCTCTGGCCTTGGCCAGAGGACTGGCATCAACAGTGAACAGACCTGAAGCCTCTCAGCTCCTGGACCAGCCACGCGCTCCCGCTGAATCCCTTCTGCATTGCAAGATGAGACCTTCTTGCATGCCATATCCTGCCTTAAATCCAGATCCTTTCCCTGGGAGAGAGCTGCAGTATCACCCACCAGGTTCCTGTGGGACAAGTACAGTGTGTGCACTGAATCTGTACCCATGGGAAGAGGATCACACGGGATAATCCTTTGCCAGACTGGGATCAGTCTGTAGTCAGACAGTAACTGACTCCAACAATGAACAAGGTTTTAAGAGAGCGTGGCTCTAGCAGCACTGATGTTGAGCTTCCCTAAGTCAGAGTACATTGCCTGGGGCTTTTGACAAACATGTCATTATGTTAGACATGACACTATGTTATGTCACATGTGAGTACCTATTTACACTGAAAACAGGAAAGGTCATATGGTGCACAGCAGTGCTAATCAGTGCTGGAGTCTGGATAGTATTTGCACTCCCAGCTTCTCACCAGCTCCCTAACAGAAGTACATGGGACTGAGGACCTTGAGAGCACCATGCTGAGACCAGGAATGGTGCCAGTGTGGGGAAAAGGAAGGAGAAATTAAACTAATAGGGGTCTCTGACCACTCTTAAAGACACAGCCACAGAACATGCACATGTTCATGCACCGATAACGCTGAAGGAAGGTCACTAGGGTCCGGCAGCAGCAACAAAGCACAGGTCGCTGCGGGAGAATACGAAGCAAAGATGTGAACAGTGCCTTCTCATCTGCAGGAGCTGGTCTTAAGTAGAAATCTAACCCCCCTAATCCATGTGCCACACGATGTATACCAATGGCATAAAGGCAACCAAATGAAAGCAACGCAAATAGGAAAAAAAAATGTGTGAGGTAAAAGAACAGACTTGCATAGGTCAGCATAAGTAGTTTTATATCAGAAAAAAAGCATTATTGAGCTTTTTTGTATAGAGCTGCCATGAATCACATCTTTCACGAATCACATCTTTTTATTTACTGGTCTCATAATAATCTGCAACTATAAAATAAGCAATGCTATTTTAATAAGAATGTGTCCTCTGGCCCACAATATAGATTTTCTGAGAGCTAGAAAAATAACAATCCAGAAAACTGATAGAGGAACACAACTGCTGTTTTGCACTAATAGAAGATTAGTAATCTTATGATATAGGAATAGATATTTCTCAGTAGCTTGCAGCAATAAAATAATATTTCTGCACTATTACTAAATGAAGCACATTGATAAGAAGTTTGTGCAACTGGAAATAAGATACATAATTGGAATTGTTGTAGTAGAGGATGTTGTATCTCATTTGGACATGAGATTAATAGCATACAGCTTCAGTTATGGTAACATCATGGGAAGGCTGGTGATTGTGGGTCTTGTTTCAGATGATCCTTTTCATACCACCGTCCAAAAAGTGTCACAGTGACAACTGGTTTTGTTGGTCTTGTCTTACTTATCAAGCGCCCATCATTCAATACCTGATTGAAAAAGGTAAAAGAAGGACATAATTAGAGGAGTACCCATATGAACACACTAAGAGCTCACAAGGATGTGACAAAACAGGAAGAAGGTACGTCAGACCATATCTCTTACTGAAACTAGTGACTTCATTAAAAGGTATTAAATAGATCTGATTATTCACTATGAGCAAGGTCACTTTGACTGTTTTGAGACAGTTTATTCCATTACTACCCTGTGAGAACCTAGCATGACACATGTCCAGGGCATCCCATTACCTCAAACTCCCCGGGGGCCAGCTGCACCCCGCTGTACAAGACTTCTGGAAAGACGTAGTTAGTGCCAAACGTGCCACTGAGGGAGAACATCTCAAACTTGGTCTGCGCAGTCTCCACCGGCTGCCCGCACGTGTTCAGGTCTGCACTCTTGCACTTGAGCAGCGTGCATATCTGCGGGGAGGAGAAGACAATGTATTTAGCAAGACAGAAACACTCTGGGAGGAAAGCCTTGTGTCATCAAAGCTAGTGTGTGTCAGAGCAGGTGACCGTCACAGGATCTCTTTCATAATCTTTAAGCAACTCCTTTTTAGTTGTAGCTTATTTTTTCAACCCTTGATCTGATTGAGGATATTCTAGAGCTGCACAGCCTTAGTATTTAGAAATAACCTTAGTTTCTGATGTAAGTGCTGCCAGAGCACCTTATTTCGTCCCTGAAGGTGAATCCTGTCACTTCCCTTCCTTCTTCCAATTTCCAGTTTTCTCATTTGAAGATTCCCTTCTCACATGTCTTAGTAAGATGAGTTTGTGAACAGAAATTTCAGGCAAATGAAACAAAGTCCTCCCCATGGGTACATTGTGCAACTATACACACAGGTCCTCTTACTGGTATTTGTACATGATGCTAGTGATAATTCATTAGATGGTCTGGTAGTCCATGGGAAGTCTGAATTTGATGTTCTCCATCCAACTCCTGGTGAATATATGGCAAGGTGATGAAGTCAGCATCCTCTGCTACAGTTTTGTGTTAGCAGTTGTAGCACATAGAGGAAAGTAGGAATGGCAATGTTTTGTCCTTAAAGTTAATTCTCCAGGTTACAGCTGATAAATGTTTATGGACACCATGAAGAAATATGAAATAGGGCTAGCACTCCTATGAAGGTTCAAAGGATGTTGACTGGTTTGGTGACAGGTGATGGAGGAGTTTGTCTATCTGTGTCAGATACTGGGGGATAGAAGAAGCGCATTTGCAAACATCAGAAGTATTATTCATCAGCAAATATGGCTTCCTGTTGAAATGCAAATAAGTAGAAATAAAGAATCTGATTCTCTCAGTATGTTCTGAGGAAATGAAAAAAATACTGAGGAGAAAAAGGAGGAGTAGAAATTCCTGTCTTCTGTAGAAAATTCAGTACTGGTAGAGACCATCTGGCAGCTTCCACAATCACTGAAATAAATTTTCCAAGCGAGCTCACCAAGAACTGAATTTATTCCAGCTACCTTCTTAAATGTATTAGATGAGCTGTTTGCTGGCTAAGACCTCCCCCTATATCCTGGAGTCTGTACCAACTGCTATGCAAAAGCTGTGTTGACAGACAGAAGTAAGTAACTAAAAAAACAATAATCTGCTGGCACGATAACTTAATTATGGAGGCAAAGAAGGTTTTCTAATATGGCTTTAAGCAAATTCAACCAGGATGTAACTCACTGTCTTCCCAACCATTTGATTAAAACAGAGGAAGAGTGGACATTTCCAGTAAAAGTCATATGCCATTTCAGTAAACTTCATTGCTATGATTTGAGTAATGACAAAAAAATAACATCTCTGTGACTCTAAATTCTCAGAGCATCTCATAAAGATCAACTGATTTTTTAACAGCAACTGTTTGATGAAGATTACAGAGGAGATTCAGAACACTTACTTCAGATAGTCACAAAAGAGGACCTAAATTTAGCCAATGTTGCACAGCTAAAAAAATAGCGAGTGCACTCTGGGAACTTAAAAGATTTTAGAGACCTTTTCACTACATTTGTTGGATTTAAACATAAGCAGGCTTGGACATTTTAGCAACTGCTTCTTATTGCTAACAAATGGGACACTGGGACTCCAGCATACAGGAAAGTCATTGACTTCCCCCCCCCCCGCGGCGCCCCCCAAAAGAGAAAACATGTTTCCCCCCCCCCCCCCCCCCCCCCCAGAGCTGAAGGTTTCTCCCTGTGAAGAAGCTTCCTAAAATAAGTACTCCCCTCCAAAGAATCATTACCTGCAGATAGTATTGTCCTTCAACAACATGAAGCCCATCAAAAGCACCTAGCACATAAACTTCATCTTCTCGTTTCCCTGCCATCTTGTAACTCAAGTGACAGCAGAGGTCCTTCTGGCAAACAGTGAGGTTCCCCTCGGGCTTAGTGAGATCAGTGAAAGTGAACCAGTCGTGGAAGATGAGTCCTCCGAAATCATCGTCATTTGGTGAGAATCTTTCGACACTCAAAGCATATGAGCTCCAGTTGACAGCAGGCGGGGAGGTAGGAGAAAGGCGAGGGTGTGAATCTAGTTCAGCAATGAGGAGGTGACCATCCTCAGTTTTCATATTGTAGTAGTATGTTCTGGCTCCGTCTGGTGCATAAATACCGCTCCCTGAGGACAGTGCAGTAGTCAGTCCAAAAATAATAAAAAATTTCATATTGTCCTTTTAATTGTCCGTACTGCTAGCTTATCCACTATTTTATAAATATTACAGACATTTTAGTCTCATCAAAGGTGACCATTAGCAATGCAGTACACAGAGATCATGCTTTGGCAAAGAGTAGCATTTATTTCCCTGGGTGAGGTCTGCTCATTGTAGACGAAGGCAGAGGATGTTATGTTATGGTTGTATTTATGGCCTCCCCAGTTCTCGTTTCTCCTGTACGGAAGAGAGTTGCTTGAGAATTCCTTTATTCTCAGCTAATTGATGTAAAAGAACCATCTACCAGTTGAGACCATCCAAAACACAACACAGGCAAGTATCATGGGCCTGTCCTGGTTTTGCTGTGCTTTGTATGGTGCCAGTAGGGACAGGGGTTGTCAGGTTTAAAATTTGGTGATGACACTCTTCACCTTCCAAATAAATATATGATATTCCTCTGCAAAATAACCCTGCAGAACAGGGAACAAAGATTCATGGCTATACAGATTTTTCAGACAGAGTGAGAATTAATTACCTGCCATAGACATCCTGGTATAGTGTGTATTGGCGGCTAGGAAGTTGACACCCATGCCCATAGCCCAGGCAGAGTGAAACTCAACCGCAGTCAGAAATGGCAGGACGTTCATCCAAGCCGTTGGGAAGAGCACGGAGTCCACCTGCAACTCGCTCACCAGGACCACGGCAGGCTCCCGGAAAAGGATGTCGAAGCACGTGAAGATGCCAAACTTCCCAAAGGGGGTCTCAAAGGTGACAGCTTCTGGCTCTTTAGGGTAATTAAACTGAGTTTCTGACATAAAGAGATTATACTGTAGGGGAAGGAAAAAAGAGAAACCATTTAAAGGCACTTACTGCAATATCCTCAAGTCATTCCCTAAAACTGTTCAGAATGACTAGAAAAGTTTTTTGATCTGTGCTTGAAGCCTTCACATGTAGGAAGTCAAGCTAAAATTGTATGACCACCATAGTGCCCAAAAGATGGATATGGGGAGACACATATTGCTCTGGCATCTAGCTAGGAAAGCAAGCGGCTATCTGCAGGTCTGTTGGTGTCAGCCACCTGCAACTCCCATAAAAATAATCTCTCCAGTCTCCCCACCTAGTTTATAATTCCAGTGACCTGAAAGACACACAAAAGAGAAATAATAATGGAACAGGAGCATGGAGGATCTGGTGCCAAGAGACAGGATTGGTGACCTTGGTGTGGAGATGCACAGAAGGACTGGAAGAACACAGCACCAGAAGGAAGCATGAGACAGTACAGGGAGACGGCAGAGTGGAGAAGAAAGCAAAGGTGGTGGTGATGGGGGGAAGGCAGATGATCTCAGCCAACAGAAAAATCCAAGTTTGTAACATTTTCAGCTTTCCAACATTTTCCTTTTTCATAAAATCATAGAATCATTAAGGTTGGAAAAGACCTCTGAGATCATCAAGTCCAACTGTTAACCTGAGTGCCAGGTCCACCTCCAAACCATGTCCCCAAGCACCACATCCACACGTTTTTTGAATGCTTCCAGGGACTGTGATTGCACCACTTCCCTGGGCAGTCTGTTCCAATGCCTAACCACTCTCTCTGTGAAGAAATTTTTCCTAATATCTAATCTAAATCTCCCCTGGCACAACTTGAGGCCATTTTCTCTCGTCCTGCTGCTTGCTACCTGGGAGAAGAGACCAACTTCCACCTCGCTACCACCTCCTTTCAGGTAGGTGTAGAGAGCGATAAGGTCTCCTCTTCCTTCGCATTCACATTTACTAGAAGAGTCCTTTAATCTCCAGGTGGCCTGGACAATAAACACGTGCCACTGAGCCAGAAAAGAGGTTCAAGTTTACTGAACTTGTAACTCAGTGCCTGGGCTGTGCCAGGCTGGCAAACGGGGGACGAGACTCGCATTATCAGTGTCCCCCTCACCCAGTTTGCTCACAAAGAAATATCTTGGCATCGTCTCTGAGGAACCAGGCGAAATACGGGGCCCAAAGTGCATTAAATAAACAACTGACTTTGGTCTAGCCACATCGGCATGATATCTGGCACACGACCCTCAGACAACTTTGATGAAGCTTGCAGGTAGGCACATAAAACTGAAAGAAGGTATTTTCACTGGGTGCAAATGTTTCAATGCCCTCATCTCTTTTTACACCCAGCTTAGGTCCATAGTTTTGTCCAGATAATTCCCATTATGCAAAAACTGTGCTGAAACATCATCAGAAAAAAAGCCTCTATAGGAAAGGGCCTGTCTTCCTTAAATGAGACTACTCATCTAAGACGAGATGCAGATGAACATTTTAAAATCCTGGAACGTGAAGGGGTATTCTGGTGAAAACCCAGCACTGAAAACTAAAGCTGCTTAAGCAGCAGGATTTCCAGTAATAGGGAGTTAATGAACTGAGGGAGTCAACCAAAACCATATGCCACTAAACTGGACCTGCAGAATCATTTTTCATTCTAGTCTGTTTTGAGAAACGTGACAACAAATGCAAATTTGGAGTCAACACTTCACAGCAAGAGAGAGATTCTTTTAAATTATAAACAGAAGAAAAATCTGCCGTGTGACAATGACTGGCATTTAATTCTCTTGCCAAGTGGAGACATTTTGGAAGTAGTGGAAAAATAGCTCCTGACTTTCCAAGGCTACTTTACCTTGTGGTAACGAGCCACCAGTTTCCCCTCCGGGTCAAAGACGACATCAGTGTTATACTGATAGCGACCATCGCTGGGGCAGCTGGGATCACTGGAGTTACACGGCTTCTTGTCCCCGATGTTTGCAACCACATAGATGGAGTTATTCCTGGCCATGCAGCTGAGTCGTTCCTGCACTGGTGCTGGAGCAAATCTAATGCATGTTTGGTGAAAAAAAAAACAAAATCTGTTCTGTCAGTGGTGTCCATCATTGAAGTGCTGAGGGCATGCCAGCAGCACCTCTGATCCTGCGGTTGTGGCAGGGCATGCAGATTCACAGGGTGGCTGAAACACTCCCTCAGGTTGCTTCCCACACCTTGGGGCAGGTCCTGGAGCCCTCCCATCAGCATCCAGAGGGACATGCCGCCCTTGGGCTGCCTGCCAGCACCCCTCAGCACCCAGAATGTGCTCTGCAGCAAGCAGATAATCCTAAGGTTGGGAAAGGGCAGGAGAGGAATCGCTGGGTGGAGGAAGAGACAAACTTGGTGCCACACAGGAGAATATCTTAGCGTCTGGTATAGCAGCACCTGAGGACCGTAGCTCTGGGCCCTCGACACACCAAGCAGAGTCGAGCTGTGGAATAGTGCATCTGATGTGGTCAAGGCATCATCTCCTCCCACAGACGGAAGCACACAGTCCTCTAGCCATGGCATGAGCAGCAGCGGGATATTCCTTCCAAGATGTGACAGGCCATGTGCCATAAACTGGCAGCACCTCTGAAGCACCCGTACCAGGCCAGAAAGAGAGCAGACATCCCCCTCTGCAAAGTGGTGATGCATAGGGAGGTGGCAGGTCCCTCCGGTGTGAATAGCCCGCTGCCTGCCAAGGACACCCACCAGCCCTCTGTCAGCCGGCACCCCAGAGCCCAGCTCAGCAGGGGGGCCAGCCACCCCCTGTGCATCACTGGTGGGCTTTTTCGGTGATGTTATTTTCAGTCAACACATTACGAGGAATTTTGGAAGGATTTTAAAGCACAAAACCACTAAAATACCCATCCTAGTGTAAAACCATGACCTAAACTTCATAGGTTAAACATGACCTTCAAAGGTTTTGTGCTTTGCTGGATCTTGAATCTGGGCCTTAAATGGCAATTTGACACGCAACCATCCCTATTTTTGTAAGAACTTAAGTTAATTTAAATATAAATCAGAGCTCTAAGAGTGGCATATTTGCCAAAGAAGGAAACGGTGGGGGTAATTACCTTTCACAGAAGGAAAACAAGGGCCTAAACTCAGCTCAGTCTATTTAGGGCAGGCAAAAGTGTTCCTTTCAGGCTATGGCTTCAGGGAAGAGTTGCAGATGCAGCTACAGCAATGTTTTCTCAGTTTACGGAAAAAAAATTGGCAGTAAATATCTATGCAGATCAAACCGAAACATAAATATTTCTAATTCTTCAGCAGCCACAAAAACCTGAAAATGTTTTATTTAATATACAACAGGAATCCTCCTTTTGGTTTTAGGTTATCAGGTGCTGTTTAAAACATTTTTTTCTCCATTGAACTGTTGATTGAATTTTAAACAAAAATTCTGCTTCTAAATGAAAGGCTGAAAATTAAGTGAAACTTTGTGCTATTTTTGAAATAAAATTTCACTTCTACATTATCAAAATTTCATGTCATGCATTTTCTAATTTTACCTCTCCCAAAACATTCACCGTTTCCTTGCCTGAAGCTGTTTACTACATTCAATACAACATCAAGAATATTTTTAGTCTGATTGAAACACTATTTTCCGGAGACTTCACTATTTGTAAAACATTTTTGCTTGCTTCTAAATCGAGTACTCTGAAGACAATTTCCCTTTTCCCAAATGCAACTCACCTGTCATTGCCAAGTTGATGTTGTGAGTATTTGCTGAAAGCAAATTGACTCCCATGCCCATAGCCCAGGCAGAGTGAAACTCAACCGCAGTCAGAAATGGCAGGACGTTCATCCAAGCCGTTGGGAAGAGCACGGAGTCCACCTGCAACTCGCTCACCAGGACCACGGCAGGCTCCCGGAAAAGGATGTCGAAGCACGTGAAGATGCCAAACTTCCCAAAGGGGGTCTCAAAGGTGACAGCTTCTGGCTCTTTAGGGTAATTAAACTGAGTTTCTCTTCTAAATAGGTTATACTGCAGATGAAGAAAATGGCATATTAGAAACTAGAAATAAGGCAAGGTTATGAACAGCTACTTTTGCATCTGAAATAGACATTAAGGCAAAGCTGGGGGTTGAGACACCTGAGCTGGCCAGCACAGTGGGTTTGCATCCATCCAGCTGACCCTCTCCCTCTGCGAAATGAGGTGGCTGCACCCCAGCTGCCTCCTGGAAGCAATGCCCAGCCAAAATTAACTGCTAAACCCTGCCAAGATGTCACCTGCAAAAGCGCTATCTGGCTTGGCTAAAACTGTGCCATGGACAAGCTAACATTTACTGAGTATGGAGAACTCTGTCACCACTTCTTTCCCATTTAGTATCATAAATGTAGCCCTTAGGTGTTTGGTATCCGGCATGCGCTCTGCAGCTGCGGTGCTCCTGGGAATAATGCCTGATCGATCAAGCACTTGCCTGCTTTTCCTTCTGGCCATAAGATCCTGGCGTTGGATCATCCTGGATTGGTTGTTGCTCTACAGTTATGTAAAATTATTTTATAAACCATCTGAAATTGATGCCAGAGAGATGAAAAGTATACTGATAACCAATTACAGGGTGATGCTGAAGTGCCTCTTTACCTTGTGGTAACGAGCCACCAGTTTCCCCTCCGGGTCAAAGACGACATCAGTGTTATACTGATAGCGACCATCGCTGGGGCAGCTGGGATCACTGGAGTTACACGGCTTCTTGTCCCCGATGTTTGCAACCACATAGATGGAGTTATTCCTGGCCATGCAGCTGAGTCGTTCCTGCACTGGTGCTGGAGCAAATCTAATGCATTTTAGAAAAAAAGTCTAACAAAATCTGTTCTGTCAGTGGTGTCCATCACTGGAGTGCTGAGGGCATGCCAGCAGCACCTCTGATCCTGCGGTTGTGGCAGGGCATGCAGATTCACAGGGTGGCTGAAACACTCCCTCAGGTTGCTTCCCACACCTTGGGGCAGGTCCTGGAGCCCTCCCATCAGCATCCAGAGGGACATGCCGCCCTTGGGCTGCCTGCCAGCACCCCTCAGCACCCAGAATGTGCTCTGCAGCAAGCAGATAATCCTAAGGTTGGGAAAGGGCAGGAGAGGAATCGCTGGGTGGAGGAAGAGACAAACTTGGTGCCACACAGGAGAATATCTTAGCGTCTGGTATAGCAGCACCTGAGGACCGTAGCTCTGGGCCCTCGACACACCAAGCAGAGTCGAGCTGTGGAATAGTGCATCTGATGTGGTCAAGGCATCATCTCCTCCCACAGACGGAAGCACACAGTCCTCTAGCCATGGCATGAGCAGCAGCGGGATATTCCTTCCAAGATGTGACAGGCCATGTGCCATAAACTGGCAGCACCTCTGAAGCACCCGTACCAGGCCAGAAAGAGAGCAGACATCCCCCTCTGCAAAGTGGTGATGCATATGGCTTTGCAAGGTGTGCATGGGCCATAAAGGAGGACCATCATGCAAGATACATATATAGCACCAAGGAATAGGGCATGCCAAACAGTGATGGCCGGCCATTATATTCCTGCAAGGCACTAATGAAAAACCTGGTTTAGGACACTGAAGAGACACAGAGATCACCTTCACAAAAACTCACTGTGCAAAGAACTGGAAAAAAGACTGGCTTAGACATGCTGCTGCCCCACACACACCCCACATTCACTGAAAGACTCTGTATATTTTAGCTACTTATCTCTCAGTAAAAAGTTGCACATCCTGCACTTCTCCCCGTTGTGAATCTTCCCCTCAGTACCGTTGAGGAACTACATCCTCACAGATGTAATATTATGGTCTTAGCACCTCATCATCGAGCAGGTGCAGAAAGCAGCGGTGAAAAAGGCGGACCACAGCTGTAGTTCTATGGCTGAGCACTTATTTCATGCTCTATGGATCTGAAGTCCAGTGCTCAGCTATAGGTTATCATGTCCCTGCTGGAACATGACATCTGAATCACAGATCATGTTCTACAGCACAGACTCTAGCAATTCGGACTTTATGTTATCTTAACTGTGAAAAACTAAGATTAAAACTTTCTGGGTTTGTATCACTCAGAGATTTGGACTTTGACTACTGAACTCATCACCTCTGATATTAGCTGCTCAGAAACTATTTCTTGGCTGTCCACAAAAAATAGTATGTGTGCTTTTATGCATGCTGTATTTTATACATATGAACATAGCATTTGTAAAAAAACAAACAAACCAACAAAGCAAATAAAAATTAGTGTTAAGAATTTCCAATCACTTCTATTCAAAATAGTGTGCAAATGCTGAAAGCAGAATGAGAAGCAGCATATTCTGGCATCAAAGCTTTTCCAAATGCAAAAAAAAGAGAAGTTTCCTCTACATTTAGCAATCCAAATTCTGTATATTGTTTGAATTTCTCTCTAAAGTGTCTAATTAAAAACCCATTTTTTTTAACAGGGTTGCCTAGTCAATTAGTCATGTACATGCTATATATTTTATCATGTAACTTACCTTCATATGCAACTTTAATTGAAACTTAACCTCATGTCAAAAGCATTAGCAGTTCTTAGGCATTTACTGGGAGCAGCTCATGACTCCATGAGACACCAGTTTGAAACCACATAAATCCCTGCAGAAGAAATCACCTTGTGGGGTCGGTGCAGGGAATCCAGTTCACCACCGGATCAGGGATATCCTCCAGGTAGGGGTAGATGGTTTCTCTTGTGAAAAGCCAGCCGTAAATGCCGTCTTCAGGAGTCACAATGATGTGGGCACCCTGACACGAACAGGCTGCGTTAAGAATTCACCCATCAACAGATAACGAGGGGGGTCAGCAGGAGCAGAAAACACTAATTAACAACGCTCCCGCTACACCTAGTACCTGCCGGGCGGCTTCCTTGATGGCCCCTTCCAAGACATCCATGTTTTTGTTCATCAGGGCCAAAGCATCGTCAGGAGAAACGGGCTTGCCAGTGGCGTCTGGCAGGATGACCGCATGTTCGTAGACGGCTGCAATGAAGGTGTCGGAGGCAAGGGCCTGAAGGGCTGTGAGTGCAAACAGTGCAGCGTGCAGCAGAGGCCGGGAAGGGAGCATGGCTGGTGCCTCGCAGCTCCTAGAATGCTCTGAGTCATGGACAAACAGTGCAAAAGGTGCATACATAGAAAAGAAGAGAGGGACAAAGTTGAACTTTAAAAGAGGGAGGGAGGAAGTGCTGGTCTGTTAAAGCATTACCTTGGAATCAAGGGTTGCTGGTGACATACAGGGAAGTATAACAGTACACAGTAAGGATGTTGCAACTCAACGGGACTAAAAAACTGGGCAATGCCAAGAGTAACTGTGCCAACAGAAAAATAGGTTCTTAAAAACATGGTTAGAAAGAATGGTACAATTTTTGTTGTCATACTTTTTTCTGTCATTGATTGCACAACACTTTTGCTATCTGTGTTGGCTCAACTCTGATACCCACATGCAAGGTGGGTGTGTCACCCCTGGAGCTAGTCTTCTGTGACGTTTGAGTGCTAAAATTGAGGGTTTTAAAAACTGTTTGCTTTATTCTAGTGTCTTCATATTCCCCAGTTCCTGTGATATGTGCCATTATGTGCAGCTTGCTTCCCAGAGTTTCTTTAGACCAAATTCATTACATAGCATCTCACTGTACTTAGATGTAACACACTTAACGCGCCAGCAACAGAATTGTCCCTGGCATTTATCCCAGGGGGTCTCCCAGTTGCTTCTGTTTAGCTGTACATCACTTTCCAACAGCCTTCCACCAGAAAATTTGCATCTGGAGGGAATGTTTTCCTCTGAAATCAAGCAGGTAAGCCACCAGCCAGGCCATTAATCGAGTACCTCATTGTCTGGCTGCCACTTGCCTGAAGCAGAAGGGCAGGATAGTTCACCAGGCACAGTGGCATGCCTGCTCCTCTGCTCATCTTTCCTGTCCCCAGGAACATGCTGTGTATTGAGGGGTCTTAATTTTTAATCTTTTACTTCAGTTCAAATACATTTTTTGCTATGACATATTCCATTTTTTTGACTTTCTAGTAGTTGCAGTATTCTCATTTGGAAAAGGTTTCCGAATAGTGGGAAGCAGAACAGGCTGCCTGCCTTCAGCTATAGCAGACTGTCATTGTAGAGCTGTCTCAGAAATGACAGAAATGTGGATGAATGCAAGCACCCGAGAGTTCCCTGCAAGAGTAGCACTGACCAAGGGTTTCAACCATTAGGAACATTGATTTGCATCTGGTAATGTTCACCTCTAAGTACTTCTCTACATACATTGCGAGATACAGCATGCTCATTCAGGAGCCTTAAATATGAGCCTTTAAAAGGCTGCGATAGAGATTTGAGTGATAATTGAGGTAATGTAGCTTGGAAGCCTTTTTTCCTCCCCTGTTTTTCTTAGCAAATGAAATACACATTGAGTCACATTAACCACAATCAGACGTAAGTCTGGAGGAGGAAGCAGAAAACGCTTCCTTGTTTAGCAACAGCTAGGACAACAGTCAGCCTAGAAATGTGACTACTCTGGCGGAGCTGAGCAGAAAAAGTGACAAGTGCAGGGGACGGGCACTGCCCTGCACAGTTCAGTGACACTGCCAGGACAGGGGGGTTTCAGTAGTACGGCAGGATGGAGGCAGCCCTGTCTGCCTCTGTACCAGCAGGCACCACCGCCTACTGCCTGCAGAGCTGGGCGCTCACCCAGGAGCAAGGAACTAACTCCAGTTAAACAAACAAACCCACTGAATAAAACTTAACAAAACTACAGCGCTCCAGGATATACATGGCTGTGGGCAATGTAAGAGGAAATTTATCCTAGAGCTCCCTCTAATTTTCATGCCTCCATCCTCCCAGTCCACTCTCCGCACCCCTCTACTGTGCTCTCCTCCGTCTCTGCTACTGCCTGAGGACGGCAGTTATCTGAGGACCGACTTACTTTTGTGAAACAGGATGCGATTTGATGCTAAATCGGCTTAGCTGTAGAGGTAGTCTGTCTTCAGATTGCGGTCCTGCTCCTTTTCTTGTGCTAGGAGAGACTGCATGGAAAACTACTCCTTCTTCGATGGGTAATCTTGCTGTGGAGAAGCCTGTGTGAAGGGTCACACCACACCTGCCACTGTGCAATCACTGCAAAGCAGTGAGGACACGCGGGCAGGAGTGAGGAAATCAGAAGCTGCTCATTTTTAGTAACAGCACATAGTTAAGTTGCTCCACTGTAACAGGACACCATGCCCTAGGGCACAGATATAAATGTAGGGATACAGTACTTTTTCTCCACAAACAAGTAGTGTTTTCCATTACTTCTATTATATGAATTGTAGAGGGTTACAATTTAGTACATCTAGAGACTAAAATTGAGTTTTTACGACATTCACTTTGTTTAAAAGCAATGTATTTTACATCCTGCAAGTCTATTTTTCATTATGTTGGTCAGATTAAATGTGAACAGTACTTTTATTTCAAAACAAACCTGCAGAACAAACAACAGAATTAACAGTACATAGAAGTCTTAGCCACACTACCCAAAGTAATCTGGTCCACTTGCTTAGAAAGTACAGTCTGAAGAGCCTGCACCCACACACGTGCCAGTGTGTTCAATCTGTTCAAGCTGTTCGCCAGCCTTTCCCAACACCTGCCTGCACAGCCCTGACTCTCCCTCGCACCAGCATGAGCAACCACTTCACGGGAAGACTGATACACACCTTCGAAATTGCTCATTTTGAGCATTTTTGATATGGATCCACCTGACTGCTTGAAAAAGGTGACACAGTTATCAATAGTTTTGTGGAAAGGAAATTTTTCACACCCTAAAACTGTGGCCAGAAAGATTCAAGTAGACTCCTCCAACTGTAAGTTAGGGCATGGCATGATAACATATTACACCATGTACTCAGTTGAATAACTGTTTTTGAAGCAATGGTGTTTGCAGGCTTGTTTTCTTTTTCAAAGTAAACGCTAACTTAAAAGTTCAACCATCGGCCTTCAAAGGTTCTATTATTCTCTCGTTTAGAAAAGTGTGTGTTCAGAGATGGGGCAGAACAGTGCTGTGGAAATTACTTCTAATACCCCTCCAAAAATTTCGAAGAATTAAAAATGGGTTGTTATTGGGCCCCAACCCACTTGTGTGTTCCTGAATCCTACACCACAAAAGTCAGAGGAAATTATATTCTGTTGTTACCAGTGAGATCAAGGTCAAGCCTATGACAATCAAAAGCTGATACAAAAACGTATACAGAACTGCCCAGCAGAGTAGTTTATTTTTGCTGCAAAATCAAGTCAATAAATCAATATGCAATGACTATGCTGTTAGATAAGGCAACCTGAGAAATAGAATGCCATTATAATTATGGGTATTAACAGTAATTAACATTAGTTAACATTATGATTAATTACGATTAATTAGCATTACAGAAATAAGGAGATGAGATCTTAAAGGATCTGCAGTGAAATCATGGTGAAGCTTGCTGTGTGTGTCGAGGGTCCTTTTCATACCACCTCCCAAAGAGTGTTACACTCAAAACTGGCTTCGATGTACTAGTCCGACTTATCAGACGTCCATCATTTAGCACCTAGTTATGGGAAAGTAAAATAAACAGGAACATCAGCAAAGCAGTACTATTGTATGACAAATACAAAATAAAATATAATGTTGACCTAGTTGAGAAATGTCATGAAAAAGGACAAAGCAAAGCATGTCTGAGTCTCTTATTCACTTGGAGATACCACAAAGTCTGAGAAAAACTATACTACTTCTGTCTTGAGCAAGATCTTGTTGTAGGAGATTTGGGGAAGAAGGGAAACAGGGAAATGGACCTGCTGTATGAATGCAACCAGGAAAATCAGGCAGAAATAAAGCTGCCTTGAATTCAAGCCAGTTACTGAAACAGAGGACACTAATAACTCCTAAGTTGCTCCCGTGTCTCGTAGTGGCTTTTTCACCATTTGTGTTACAAGTCTGACAACACGCAAGGGTGTCCCATTACCTCAAACTCCCCGGGGGCCAGCTGCACCCCGCTGTACAAGACTTCTGGAAAGACGTAGTTAGTGCCAAACGTGCCACTGAGGGAGAACATCTCAAACTTGGTCTGCGCAGTCTCCACCGGCTGCCCGCACGTGTTCAGGTCTGCGCTCTTGCACTTGAGCAGCGTGCATATCTGTGGGGAGGAGGGTACAGAAAGGCAAAATGCTGCTAGGCTTTCAACAGTCAAGAGCTGGATTTGATTGTAAGAGAAGCTGTCACAATGAAGAAACTATCCAATACATCTACTCATTTATTTAGGCCAAGAGGATCCATGGGTGCTCTTGGCACTTGAAACTTCGTAAAAAGACAGTTCTTTGCCAGCACTGCAGCAAAGCACTGTGTCTGTGTGTACACATGCGTGTTTATAAGTTACGTGTGCATTCATGCACAATGTGTATGCATTTAGTCATAGATGTGGCATAGTTTATGACCTAGGTAAGTTACTTCAGCTCTGGCTGAGTTTCCTAAAAAACATCAGCATGATGGCACAATCCACTGAGCAGAAAACAGCTCTCTGTTGTGACAAGAGCATCCCTATATAGACAGGGAGAACTCTACGATCTTCTCTCCCTTTTGTACACGTATATGGAAACCTCCTTGAAGTGTTACAGCACAGGGTCAACTCAGGGTCTTCACTTTTATCATTTGTAACATAGATGGAAAAGCAGGACCAACACCCCTAATGAAGTCAAAATGCATCATGAAGAAAACATGTTTTCAGAGGGGCCTAAAAAATGCCTGCTCTTAAACCCCCTCAATCAAAAACGAGACAAATGCAAATAGGCTGCAAAGAGAGTACTGCAGCCTTCCCACTGTCCAGATAAGAACAGAAAACCTTTACCTGCAAATAATACTCTCCTTCAACAAGATGTAGCCCATCAAAGGCACCTAGAACATAAATGTCATCTTTCTGCTTCTCTGCCATCTTGTAACTCAGATGGCAACAGAGGTCCTGCTGGCAAATGGCACGATTTCCCTCGGGTTCAGTGAGTTCCGTGAAAGAGAAGATATCATGGTAAATGACCCCACTGAAATAGTGATCGTGTGATGGAAGCTGTTCAATACTGCTGGCATACA